CCTCGTTCCACGTCAGCCTGCTTCGCCCTTATGTCCCGTCCACGAACCAACTGCCACGCAATCGCCCAGCCAGCATGACAAGACCACCGACCGAACCAATCATCACCCCCGAGAAAATCCTGAGTCACAGAGTTCGCGACCCTCGCGGAGCCCGAAGGATCGAGTTCTTACTCCGCTGGAAGGACCGTACACCCACCGAAGACAATTGGGTTCCCCTGGACAGAATCGAAAACCACCCCGTCCTCACCGAGTATCTGCGCAGCCGGAATTTCAGGGATGTACACGCACTTTCGTAAGGAGGACCTCCTTAAGGGGGGGGTTAGTGTAAGGAAAATCTCTTTTTTCTTACTTCGCGTCCCTGCTCAACGCGTACATCACTGTAGCACCACAGTCAGCACCGTTACCACTCGCAATCCTCGCATCGACAATCCGCCCGCCACCTTTGCACGTCGCACCCCGACCTCACGGCTCGGCGGGTAACCCGCGCTCCGGGCCTCCGCTTCGACACTTTTGCCAACCTCAGTCCCAGGCCCGTCGTACGACAACCACAGTCCATTACCGTTACCACTGTAGTTTCGCTATATATTTTTCGCTCATGCCTTCGCTCATTGTACTCTTACTTCGATAGTGCAATTCTCGTTCGTTCACTCAATTGCACACGTAACAACAAGTTAGTGTGCTGTCGTTTGTGACTGCTTTGGGGTGTGGTGCTAAGTGCCTCATGTATGCAACATGGGTTGTGATCGTCGGTGGGGCAGCTTTACTCGCCTCTTCTGTACCATATCAATCCATGTTGCAACATGAATGCATTATAGTATTCACTTCAAAATATTCACATATTGTTTGTTTGTTTGTTTTGTATTTTCTCGTACAATTTTGCATGTTTTTTTTTTCCCACTGGTAGAAGTTTGCCTATGAGTGCGTTTCTTATTGCGTGGGAGGTCTGGGGGTGCAGGTCCCTGCACGTACGTTCTTCGCACCGGCACTCGTAGTGGGGAGGTGTGAGGTCTCCCACACACCACGCAGCGCTGCTTCGGCCGCTTGACTGACGCTTGGCGTACCCAGTTTCCTGACGCTGTTGAGCTTCCTCGTTGGCATGATCTGCTTCTGCAGAATATGCCTATCTTTGATCTAGACTTTGATGCTATCCTTGCTGCCATGTATGCTCTTGCTGATATTACTGAGGGTGACTGTTACCTGCGTGTCCCGCCCGACCCGGGCACAAGAGATTGTCCAATTGTTCCATTCGCCGTACTTATCGACGATAATGGAATGATTGGACACATTTGTTTCCATTTTTCGGGTAACTTATGTGAACAGTGCTTTTTTCTTTATTTTGAGAAGAAACGAATGTATAAGGTTGCTACGCAACCCAAAAATCAAATGTTTGTCCTGTCTAAAACACGCACCTGTGTGGTGAACACGTGTACACCCGTCTTGGCCAGTCTCTCGAGTTGTATTTGCATGAAAACGCCAACAGACGGTCCCAATTGGGTGGTTCATTGTGGGGGCTTTTTTGTGGGCTGCCTTGACTGCAAGTATATTGACCAGAGAAGTCCGGGTTTTTAAAGTGTATTTCTATAGTCAGGGCGGGTCCAAGGGTGTAAGTATTCGCAGAAACACCTAACCGGCCAGTTTAATTTCAGAATAGACTGCTCCGGATCAAATCCAGACCCTTTTCAGCCGCATTCGGACGTACTATGAGGACATGGCATGATGGTGCTCCTTCGCACTACCTGAACTGATGTCCGCTGGGTACTACCGAATGGCTTCTGGTCCCCTCAGGTTGGAATGCAAAGTTCCACCCCGCCCAGCCAGTTCAATACTTGGCTGGATGAAGGAGGTCCAAAAGGAGGTCTGAGGGCAGTTTGGACACGCGCTTAGGAGACTGGGTTGGTGATCGATCCTGGCCATGGATTTTACACGGACACTATTTCCTCCTTTCCCCAACCTGGTCTGGCTCGCCCAAGCTTCCAGAAACAGCCGAAAAGTAGATCCAGCTTGCAGCATTTTCATTGCGACAAACTGAGATTATTGCCCTAATGAATGAAGGCCAGCTCGGGAGCATGAAGGTCTGCTATCGCAAGGGGTGCTCGTGATGCTGGACAAAGAACCATTCACCTAATGATATGTAATCATAAGATCGTCGAGGTGATGGGACAAACCCTGCCTGTTATACTTCACACATGGAGACCTTGTGGTTGTTATGATGACCGAAACTCACGAGCCACAATAGACCATTCTGCACCAGTCAAAATATATATTTCCCAAACTGGCAAGCCATCTCTAGTGCCGCCCAGAATTAGGGATTTCAAGAATCACCCTGTCAGGATAATCCACCAACAATCGAATCACTAGGCACGCCCGAACACAAACTGAGTTGTACTCTCCAGACATCTCCCCCGTTTTCTCACAACGACATTCACAATACCCCTAGTGATGCTTTTCCCGTGATGCTTTTCCTTACTCCCGATATTCCACATCAAAATACCCACAACCTTCCAGAGGGACAGTGAAATTGGTTAATCAATAAAGCCAATATGTTCAATTCGTACCCTTGAGTTAGCCGTCCAATTTGGACTCAAACCAGCGCATTCATTTTTTTTACATTGTCACTGAAATGGTAACCCGGAATAACCATTATTATCGTAATGTTGTTTTTTCTAACGAAAGTAATTCCGCTTAAAATAGCTCTAAACTATGTAAAATGAAGGCATATTGTCTTGATTTAATGTTTTATTACAATGAATACAACGTGCTCGCTAGCTTGTGTTTTTGTACTCTCCTTGGTTGGACTTTGAGGTCCTTAATAGGTGTGTGTATTTGTTGTAGTAGTCATACAAATTCAGTCTTTCCAACTACTCTCTGAATCTCTCCAGGGTCAGAACAATAATTGACACCCCGATACGCTCTTGTGATTTGAGCACCAAACGACACCGTGCTGCTTGTCGCATGGACTCCCCTTGAAGCTCTGGGCGGGTAAGCTGATGCTTCTAGTCCGGGTGCATCAGATATGAGCGAGCTGGCTGGCAGGCAGTCTGGCAGACATCCGCCCGCATCCTTGAAACTACACTCTCGTTTGTTCTTGGCTATTCTTCATGGTCATAATTTCAGAACGACTGAGAAAAGGGTTGGTTTGGGGACGTGATGAATGGGCTGAGATCTATGGCTGCTAGAAATAGCTTCTGCTCCCCTTGTAGCCCGAAGAACAAAGTACACATCGGAAAGAAAAATGCCAAACATAAATACAATAGACCCATCCCTAATTTTCCCACGAGATTTTTTTCCCCACCAGACCTATACTGCATCACACCCTAATAAACCGTTAAATGCCAGAGCTAACATCAAACTGTTCAGACCGGATAATTTCTGCTGTTGTTTGTGGCTAGTTGGACATAACCCCAGCCAGGCTTTGTCTTCGTTCGAGGATTTTGCCAGCTTTTACAGTCAGAACCCTGACCTATTTCCACAGAAAAATGTTTTCCCTGGCGGGACAGTTCAAGCCCTGGTGGGAAAAGCTTCCAAACCCCAGACCCCCTTCTCTTTCTTTCATATCCTCCTGTACTGAAATTCGACAAGTAAATTGTACGCAGTTTCATGCAACTAAGGGTTCCACTACAGCCAACATCCCTGTGAACTGGCAAAACTGTGCACACATCATATTTCTCCCGATCCCTTCCCCACCAGGCAAGATGGCCTCCAACAAACAATGCGTCAGTGAACCTGGTCCTTCGGGCAAGATCAAAACCAGGGTTCCATTGCTCCAGATTCACCTGTCGGTCGGTGGCTCGCGGTCGAGAAGCAGGGGCCAGCAGGCTCCACGGAATTTGACTCCGTCCCTGCGAATGCACAGTTGAGGGCAAGGTTTCTGTGCGGTGTAACTGTAGCTGGTTATTTATACTGTACACATTTTCACCGCCTTTTTACTACTGTATGAATTGCTGAGTTTGATAATGACCACTCGTCTGGGTGTCGTTATGTGCGTGGCTGGCTGGCTCCCCAATGACAAGGGATGACTCGGATGGAGAGGAGGTACAATTGATGCCCAACCAGTGCACGCGGATTTGCCTTGCGCCGGATGGAAACGCTGCACCCGAGGTTGTTTCCCCAGCCTGTTGCTCCCACGTTATAAGCGCGTCGCGTGGTTATCAACCAATAGTAACGAACAGACCGAGGTCAAGCAGAAGAGACTGAAGTCAAATAAGGTCACAGATCTTGTTTATAAGCACCTGCGAATCCTTTTTAGCTAGCTGCGAATTGACGAAACTTATGCGAAACGCTCGTTACAGATTATATGCCCCCTTCACAAGGCATCCGGGAGGGGCTCAAACAGGCATCAATTGTACGTACCTTCGTTTGGTGGGGGAAGTGCGCCATTCCAGTTGTCGTTGCGCGGTTCCTGGAACACACCGCCTGCCGCTCGCACCGAATGCCCTTTCCCCACCCCCAGGTGGCCCTTGCCTATTCCGCGCAAGCCATCCCCCTCCTCGCACAGGTGGTGTGGAACCAGAACAGCGCCGCCCACAGGCCACGCCTCCCATTTCTCGAGCACAGCAAGCAGACCAATCGTGCTCGCACGCCATCCCCAGCTCCAGATTCCATATTTGCTTGCCTACGACTAAGTGGCTTCACTATCCTTGGAGTGGCATCCCCTACAGCAGTCACGCTGGATTCTTTCGACTTCTTCCTGGTCTACGTAAAGCATTTCTATGGCCGATCCAAACGCGTGGAACGGAAACTCTAACTCCATATTTAAGCAGGATTCCCTCGCATCAGGTCCGTCCTGTCAGACAGAGGACCAACCACGTCACTCAAAGTTTTCTGACCGCGTCTGCAACAGCTTCAGTCAGAGGAATCGTATTAGCCATATTACCACTGTGCTAAACGCTTCAGGCGGGATTGCCGCAAGCGGACAGCGAAGGTGTGAGGGGAGCTCGAGGTCCCCGCCAGTGGTGTTCCTATTCGGCCAGCGGCTACAGCAGCATTCGATCGACCTCGTAATGGAGCCCGTAGAGGATCCCCACAAGAGTGCGCCAGTGATTCGTGGCGGATCAGACGTTCGGCAGCGACTTCCGCCAGTGGTTCGCCGGGCGTCTTTTCCTGACGATCTCGTGGTCGCGGGCGATCCTAACTTCACGTGGCGCGGCGACTCTGGCGGCGAAGCGCATCCGCGAGCGGCGTATTCGTCCCTCCACTCCGTCGGACCTGCTGACGACGCGCAGCTCGTACCTGCTGCGACAGCGAGCTTGAATTTTTCCCTTGGTCCTCCACGCGCTCTTTTGCCGTCCTCGAGGCAGCGAGCTCGCGACACCTTCGTCAAGAGCCTTCCCGCCGTCGCCATGGACGTCGCGGACGCTGCGGCGACTGCGACGGCGCATCGCGATGATCAGACCGGTGACGGGAATCTGACGGTTCGCACCTTCACGTTTCCTCTTCCCGCTGACGAATCTGCCTCGCCGCGTCCCGGTTTTAAGCGAGGCCGAGGCCCCGACCAAGACGACGACGACGACGACGACGGCGACGACGAGGTGCAAGGGCGGGAACGACCGTCGCGGTCTTCTTCCTCACCGTCCAGTGCGGGTGTCGCGAGACTGAGCCCTGCGAAGTTCGCAGGTCAGGGAAGCGGCGGCAGCGGCAAGAACAGCGAAGGATCGTCCCGCGGTAAGTTGTCAGGACGACGTGGCGAGCCGGCGGATGCGGCATTGTCGACCGAGATCAGGCGAATCGCTAGTGGCGCTCGTCTCGCTGCTCCGTCTCCCGTGCCACAGGCTCGTGCCAACCTAGACCGCCAGAGGCTGTCCCCCGAATCGCGCTTCCCGCAGCCTGTAAAAAACGCGCACACCACGGAATTGCCGCCGCCACTTACCCCCGCTCTCCCGCGTCCCGTGGGCCCGCATATTACGCAGCGCGACCGCGTCCATATGAGTTTCGCACGGGGCCCCCAGGCTCCGCAATTCCCGCAGCCGACGCCGCCACCTTTCCTGGGCGGCTCGACTGGTGTGGCCAGCTCCGCCGCCACCGCGAGCAGCGCTGCGGCGGCAGCTCCCGCCACAACTGTGGCTGCCTCCGGAGGGTGGAGTGGTCCCGACGGCTCGAGCTTGCTCATGCACAGGCGGCTTCTGCCCGTCGCTGATGCGGGGACGGGCTTGGGCGCACGGGGTGGCGACGAGAGGGGGCCCCATGCCCTTGGGGCGGAGGAAGAGCAGCGCGAGGCCGCCGCGGACGCGACAGGCGGAGGGGAGCACGGGTGGCAGTGGCACACGCGGCTACGGCGTGCGCGCACGGAGGGCCGGCTGCTGGGGGAGGTGTCGTCGCACAACAGCAACACGTTCGCGGCGGGCGACGAGCGCATGGCGGGGCCGCTGGGCTTGGCACGCCTGGAGTGGCAGGGGCTGCTCGCCGCAGGCGCGGGCGGGAGGTTCGGTGGTGCTGAGGAGCGCATTGCGGCCTTGCTGAGGGGCGCGGGGGGAAACGCCACGGACAGTGGCAATGGCGGCGGGGAGACGGGGGTGAAGCGCGGAGCAACGTTTCTTACTCCGCGCACAGAGAGTAGCGGTCCTGGTTGGCAATTAGCGCAGCAGCAGCAGCAGCTGCAACTGCAACAGATCAACGCAGCGGCGCTCGTTTCCGCTGCAGCTGCTGGCATTGCAGCGTCAACCCACCAAAGGCAGACGGCGCAAGAGCTGGCGGAGGCGCAGCCAGTGGCGCAACCGAGTCCCCCTCTGCTGCCGCGGTTGCCAGCTCAGCATCCAAGCGGGGGCGCGGTGCTGTCGCCCCACGGGGTGCCTCCTCGCCGCGTGTCCAGCTTCGACTTCTCACTTATGAGCCACAAAGTGCCCCCACCTCTCCCCCGCGCCGCATCGTACCGTGAACCACCCCCGGGCCCCACCGCTGCAGCAGCTGTAGCGGAGGGGAGGGCGGGCGGAGCTGGGTATGGCAGCGGCGCCGCAGACGTGGGAGGACGGCGCGGGTCGGAAACTGTGGGTGGGGGCGGGGCGAGCGTGGGTCGAAGCGGAAGGGCTGGGGGTGGGGGTGGGTCGACGACAACAGGAGCTGCCGGGGCTGTGGCGGGTGGGGGAAGCAAGGGGCGGTTGTGGTGTGGCGAGGAGGGGTACAAGTGCAAGGACTGCGGCATGCGCTTCACCAACGCACAGGCGCTGGGAGGCCACATGACGGCGCACACCAAGCGACGGCGCTCCAACTTCGCAAGCTACAGCTTCAGCGACACGGGGTCCGGCGGCAGCACCGCGTTCGCCATGGCAGGTCCCACCTCCATCGCGCCGCCCACTGTGCCTGCTGCAACGCCCCTCGGCCTCGCTGCACCCCCTGCTGCCATCCTGTCAGGGGCGCCCCTTACGCACGCCGCTTCTGCAGCAGCGGTTGCCTACTTAGCCAGTGCAGGCGCAGGAGCAGCGGCAACTGGGGGAACAGTGCCATCCACGCACGCACATGCAGCGGCAAGTGTAGCAGAGCCCGTCCTAGGGTCGCTGCTTGGGCTGGGACTGGGTGGCGCAGGTAGCATGGGTGTGATGCGAGGCAGTGGTAGGGACGCGGGGGGGCACAGTTTGCAGGAGCAGAGGAGTGCAGCCGCACGACAGCAGATGGTTGGTGGGGGGAGGGCAGACCTGGGTTCGGGCATTGGTGTGGGCAGCAGCAGAGAGAGAGTGGGCAGAGGGTTTGAGGCGAGGGGTGGTCGAGGTGATGGCGGGGAGGAGCTGGAGTGTAGTGCGATGGGAATGCAGCGACAGCGATTGGTGCAGGCATCAGAGAGCAGCCAGCCCACAGTGCAATTCAAATCAGGTAAGCACCGAGGCGCAAGGGTGGAAGCTTCTGTTGTTCCGGTGTGCCAGTCTGCTTGGAATTTCACCTTCTCCTCTCCGCCCGCCCTTCCTGCCGTCTTTCCATCTCTCCCGTGCCCAGACCCGTCAGACATGTCGGCGCCAGAGCTGGTGTCAGCAAGAGCATGGTGTCAGCTGGACAGGTCCAGCGGAGGGGCATCCACGCCCCTTGCTGCAGGCCTATCTCCCTTCGCGCATGGTCTAGCGGCCACAGCTGTCCCTGGTGCAGATGGCCCCCTCTCCTCTGCTGCTGCTGCAGCTGTTGCAAACACGCACTGGGCTTCCTTCAACTCAGGTGCCAGTAGCACCCCTCAGCAACTCCCTGCCACCGCTGCTGCTGCAGCTGCTTCAGTCACCGCTGCGCTGAATCTTTCCCCTTATGCTTTCTCCCAGATGCCCTTTTTAGCAGCACTTTCTGCTTCTCCTGCTTCTGCTGCCGCTGCAGCGGCTGCTGCTGCAGCTGCCGCTGCCACAATGTCCGCTGCAGCACTACCAAGCATGGTGCATGCGCCGCATAGCCCCCTGCATGCAACAAGCTCTTTCGCCACATCTCTTGCAGCTGCAGCTGTAGCCTCTGCAGCGGCTGCTAGTGCTGGTGCCAGGGAAACGTCACCCCAAGGCCGTGTAGCGGCAGAGCAGGTTACGCTACGTGGTACTCAGGCCATGCCAAGTTCGGTAGGTTGGAGTCGACATGACGACCAGTCCCTACCATCTGTAAGGCCTTCCTTAGATGGTGTTCCCAGTAGGCTTGCTGCAGAAGGTGGTGGAAACCAAGACACTGATGTGGAAGACCACAACGAAAGCAAGGTTCGGATTGACTTGAACCTTGCATTGTAGGAAACATCTGGAGTGTTTGATGATTTGCAAGAAGATGTCAACAAATGCTAGTGTGTGGTAGCATGAAGGTGTTGTATCTTGCAGTGTTTAATGCCAGGTATTGATTGTGCAAGATCTTCCCAAAAATTACACACCCGGAAGCCATGATAAGAATTATCCTGTTTTTTTTAAAGCGAATGTGCAGTCAGTACCGTATGACATTTTTGGCACATTATGCTGAAGTGGGTGAGCTTACGGAACTATCATAAGCTGTACATAGGATTTTCAAACCCGTTTATGTATGTTTCTGGGTTGGCTCATCTCATCGAGATTGTGGGCCAGTTGCAGCTAGTGAAAAGCTCCGCTCCAAGGGACTTCATTTGCGGCTACGCACTGCAGCGGGCCCTCCGTGCGTCAACTCATCTGCCCCCTGCACGTTTCCCCGCCACCCTCGACTCGACATGTTCGCGCCGCAGAGGGTGCTGCTGTTTGGCGGAATGGGGGACATGCGGGGACTTCACTACAGTACACCGCGAAAACGAGCGGCAAGCCCACCGTGCGGCAGTTCCGCTGAATGACCTAGCTTGGCGGGCTCCCCTCCTCCCCTTGCGTCACCTCCAGAGGGGCGTAGTCGACACAACTCGGCTGTCTGGGGGGGAAGTCTGAAGTGCAATCCCAAAGTGCATGTGCGCTGCTCTGTGTGCCATTTCCCGTTGGAGTTGCCTCCACCTACATGCCGCCTCCTCACCCCACCTGCCTTATCAGACAACCCCCCCGTTACCTCTACTTTCTAGATGCAAATGGTTCCTCGGTTACCTCTTCTGCTGCCGCAGACGGGGCAGTAAGGGAAGCGTGTATGTCGGCTTTGGTATGCGCGCGGTCGTAGCAGCGCCATGGCTTTGTTCTGACCCCTCAGATGTTCCGACCTCCGTATTGTTAACCTATTTCTAAACTAGCATCCAGACTCGGCCTTCGGCAGTGCTCGTCAGACTTTCGCCGCGATGGCACTTAATTAATATATATATAAAAGGCCTTTTCAAAAATAGGTGTCTATTGGATTTTCTGTGTGTTATTATCATCGTGCCCGCTGTCTCTCCTCCGCGCCATCGAGTCACAGGCCCGTTAGAGCGAGGCGTGGGCATGTCAGAGTGGTCGCCTCTGCTCAACGGTCCCCCGGGGACCACGTCCTTCTGCGTCACTTTGGAGGACGCCTCGGGTCGCGAGGTGTCGCCATGGCACGACGTGCCGTTGCATTCCACCTCGGGCGGCTTCCACCTCGTTTGCACCACGCCCAAGGGGACTCAAGTAGACTGCCACGTGGCTGTTCAGGAGAGGCTCGCGCCGCTGCGCCATCGCGTGCGAGCAGCCACTGCAGCGGCGGGCGGCGGGTGGCAGCTGGTGCAATTCAACGAGCCAGTGCCCTGGAATTGCGGCGTGCTGCCGCAGACGTGGTCGGACGGCGCACAGCGGTGCGCGGAGTTTGGAAACTTGCCGTTCGACGACAGCCCCATAGAAATGGTGGAGATCGGCCGGCGCGTGCGCTCAGTGGGCGAGGTGTACTCTGTGGGGGCTCTCGCGGTGTTCGCGCTGGTGGACCCGCGCGGGTTGCGGCTGTCGTGGAAGGTGGTGGGCATAGCGCTGGACGACGATAGCGGCGTGGTGGACTCGCAGAACGGCTCCGTGCACATCCTGCTCGACTCCATCCAGGAGTGGCTGCACTCCTGCCGCGCTATCCGAGGTACGCCGCCCGCCACTCACGCCACTTGTTCGTCGTTTTTTGCCTCTTACATAATCCCCCCCCCTCCCCCCCCCCCCCCCCCCCCCCGCACCCCTTCGCTTTTTACACCCAATCCGCCCTCTCCCTCACCTCTCCTTTCCGCCCTCTCCGCCGCCTTCGCTCACATCCCTATCGCAACTGTCACAACTGCTGCCGCTCCTCCTCGCGCGCGCGTCGTGTGTGGGCAGGCGAGCGCGGGCGCGTGTTGCGGCTGAAGGAGGGCGTGGCGGACAAGGACAAGGTGCTCGAGATCGTCGCGCACGCGCACGCCGCGTGGCAGCTGCTGCGCGCGGAGCGGCAGGCGGCGCTGAACCCGCGCATGTCGATGCTGGGGCTGGACGACGGCGACCTCAGCGAGGAGGAGGAGCTTGCGCGCGCCACCACGGGCGGGGGCATGCTGGCGGGCAAGGTGGGGCTGGGCCCCCCCGTGCGCATCTTCGGCGAGTCGTATGCGTCCGACATCGGCGGCCGGCGCACGAGCCGCTCGTCCGAGCGCGGCAATGTGCGCACGCTGGGCGCGCCGGTGTTCGGCAGCAGCTTGCTGACGGAGTCGTGGGACAGCGAGGAGGAGAAGAGCCACTCGCGCCAGCAGTCGCTCGAGGACGACTGGGACGCGCCCGCCACTTCCAGGAAACCCGCCGCCGACGGGAACTTGGGGGGGGGTGGAGGGGGAATTTGGGGCGGGGGTGGTGGCGCCCGGGGCGGCGGCGGAATTTGGGGGGGTGCGGCGTCGACGGGGGGTCGAGGAGCTGGGGGGATGTGGGGAGGGGGTTCGTGGCAGGAGCGCGAGAAGGTAAGCGCGCCGGGGTTCAGCGAGGGCGCGGATCGCGCGCTTGTGCGCGCCAGCTCGTCGGCGGAAACGTCGCGCAGCCCGTGGCGGGTGGACGAAGGGGGCGGGGGCTACCTGGACGACGACGACGGCGGGCCGGGCGGGGGGAGAATTGGGGGGGGGGCAGCGGTGGCTGCGGCAGGGGCAGGGGGAGTGAGTTCCCCTTCGGGCGCGCGGAGTGGGGAGGATTGGGGCGAGGAGGAGCGGATGGGGGACGGCGGGAAGAAGGGGTTGCGGCAGAAGATCATGGGGAAGCTGAAGCGCACGGCGCACAGCTGGAAAGAGGGCCTCACCAGCGGCGCCGACGAGCGCGACGGCCTGCGGGGGCGCGCGGGGTCGGGCGAGCTGAGCATGTCTCCGCGCGCGCAGGCTGCGCACGACGCGTACGTGCAGCAGCAGGCGGAGGGCGACGACGAGCAGCCGCCGCAGCAGCAGGCGCAGGGCGGCACGTACGGCCATGGGCAGCAGCAGCAGGGGGTTGGCAGAGCCAAGGGCGGGTGGCGTCCCTTCGCCGGGGGAGGGCTGCAGGCGGACGACCTCTCCGCCTCGCAACGCCACGGGCGCTCCAAGTCGTTCATTACCGGGGGGCCCGGGGGAGGACAGGGGGGACCTCGCGGAAGCGGAGCGGTGGACAGCGTAGGGGCAGGGGCAGGGGCGGCGAGTGGGGCTGGCAGTGCGCAAGGGTCGATAGAAGCGGGGTCAGGGGGGCGCGGGGCTGGCGAGGTTAACGCGGGCAGCAGCGCGGGCACGCCTGGTGCGGGTCAGAGCGGGTCTCGTAACCGACCCATGTGGTTACCAGGCGGCTCGAAGCTGCCTTTATTAAATCGCCCAGTGTCGTCGTCGGGTCGCCTGGGTCGCAGCCCGTCCGTGGGCTTCCCTTCCTCGGGCACCCCCAAGGCGGGCGACGCAGGGGGCGCGGGCGCGGAGCTAGATGCCTTTGACGCGCACTGCCGCGCCAAGGCCGCGCCTTTCTCCCCCCTCACCCCCTCCGCGTCCCTTTCGCCCCTCGCTAATGGCATTTCCGCTTCCAGCCTCCCCCCCCTGAGCCCCGCCCTTGGCTCTTCCCCCTCCATGTCTTTGGGCGCGCGGGAGCTCTCCCGCACGCCCTCCGCGGACAGCCGCCACCTGCAGACCACCGCGCTCAGCCCGCTCGCCAGCCCCACCGCAGTGGGCGCAGGCCTGGGATCCCGCGGGCGGGGCGCGCCGGCCGGCGCTGGGCGGGGCTCCGCGATTCCGTCGCTGGTCGACAGCCCCTCCGCCATCGGCGGTAGTCCCCTCGGGTCCCCGCGCGCGCCCACGCTCTCGGGGCCTCCCCCCCTCCACCGCGATCTCTCCGCCCCATCCGACCTGCTCTCCAGCCCCAGTGGGTCGCAGGGCGGCAGCTGCCCCCCCCCTGTTCCGCGCGCGGATAAGAGCGGCGGCCAGCCTGAGCGGGATGCCTCCGCGGGGAGCAAAGCATCTCCCCAGGTGCGCGCGCTCTCCCCGCTTAAAGACCAGGGGGGGCTGGCTCCGGGGGTTATAGCTGTGAGTGGCGGCGGCGGAACGGGACCGACCCCTCCGAGAACAGGCGGAACAATGCGCGGAAAGAGCTCCTTGCGCTGGCGGCGGCCGGGCACTGCGCCCTCTGGGGGCGAGAAGGAGGCGCAGCTGCAAGCAGAGGGCGGAAAGGCAGGGGGGGCGCGGCTGCGAAGCGGGGAGATGGAGGGCAGCGGGGAAGGGGGGGGACGTGGTAGCGGGGACGAGGATGGGGCGCGGGCAGGCGCGGAGGAATGGGAGGGCGACGAGAGTGAGGAGGGGGGGAGAAGGACGGGCAATGGTGGCAGGATGAGCGGAGAGGGAGTGGGGTCGGGCGGGGCAGGGCCAACAGTGTGGGAAGCGGGCGTAGGAATGGGGGAGGGGAGCGAGGGCGCGGCAGTGGGAGAGGAGAGGGTGGATCGGTTGCTGATCCCGCACAACGGCGCGGGACCTGCGTCGGAGCCGCCCTCGCCCTCCGCCGCCTCGCCCACACCTGCCCCCGCGCCTGCTGCTGTGGCCGACGGCGCTGACGGCGTAGCAGCAGGGGCTGGATGGGGCGGGGAGGGTACTGACGAGGGGGGAGGGGGCGCAGCAGGTGGGGCGGGAGGCGGTGGAGCAAGGCGCACCAGATGGCGCAAGATTGAAGTGGCGCGCCGTCCGCCCGTCCCCGTGCGGGGTGGTCCGGATCAGGGGCAGGGGCAAGGGCAGGGGCAGTCAGCATCAGCAACGCAAGCAGCACAGACTGTAGAGCTCGGACCGGGGCAGGGACAGGAGCAGGAGCAACGGCACGCCCAAGAGCAAGCGCCGTGGCTGGGGCAGGTGCAAGGGCAGGGGCAGGGGCAGGGGCAGGGGCAGGGGCAGGGGCAGGGGCAGGGGCAGGGGCAGGGGCAGGGGCAGGGGCAGGGGCAGGGGCAGGGGCAGGGGCAGGGGCAGGGGCAGGGGCAAACGAGGGCACTGTCTCCACTTCGTATTGCGGAGTGTGTGGGGCGGGAAGAGGGCGAGCGGAGGGTGAGAGATGCGGAGAGCCTTGTAGCGCGGGCGAGCGCGCGGCGCAACCAGGAGGATGGCGCTGCGATTCCGCGCACTGTGTCCTCCAGCCCGCGGGGCGTGCACGCCGGTGCAGGGGGGAAGCACGGGGGCAAATGGAAAGATACGGGGGGAGATGGGAGAGGAGACGCGGGGGCACGGGCGGAAGCGGGGGGCGGGCGCGCAGTGTACACGGGCAGTCTGCGCACGCGGTCGGACATGACGGGGGTGATGGCGTCGTTCGACCCGCTGGACGCAGAGCAGAGCCGCGCGGGCAAGCAGCCGCACACGCTGCAGCTGGGAGCGAACGGCGGGGGGAGGGCGCAGGTGGCAGGTGAGCGAGGGAGGGCGGAGGCAGCGGGGTGGGACAGGGAGGCGCAGAGAAGCAGTGAGGCGGAATGGGGGAGGGGAGAGAGGAGCAGGGAGGGGCGATGGCGACACATGTCATGGCAGGCCGAGCCTGGCGGTAGAGACGAGTGGAGTGGCAACGGCGGTGAGAGGAGCCGCGGGGACGAGAAGGTCGTGCGCAGGGAGTGGGGGGGCGAGGGCGAGGAGGTTGAAGTGGGGGAGCAGGACGAGGAGGAAGATGATGAGGAGTACTTGGCAAGTCGAGCCCAGTATTTGTACCGCTTGCAACCACAGAAGCAGCAGCCGCTGCCCTTGCCGCAGCCGCGGCAACAGCAGCAGCAGCAGCAGCAACAGCGGCAGCGTCAGCAGCAGCAGCAGCAGCAGCAGCAGCAGCGTGAGGAGATGAGCGGCAAGGGCATGTGGGATGGCCGACTGGAGGGTCAGTTGCGACAAGGGGCCGAGAGGAGGGCGGGGCAGCAGGGACAGGGCGTGAGGGGGCCTGGCATGGGCGGTGGGGAGCGGCGAGAGGCGCAGTGGGATGCACGCGGGCAGCAGGGGGCGACGCAGCAGATGTATGATAGCTGGCGTGCACGACAGGAGGAGCAATACGCGGAGGAGGACGAGGAGCAGGATGAGGAGGATGAGGAGGAGGGGGAGGAGGGGGAAGAGGATGAGGAAGAGGAAGAGGAGGAATTGGAAGACGAAGGAGATGACGAGGAGGAGGAATTTGAGTATGAAGGAAAAAGCGAGAGGGTGCGGAGAGAGGGAGAGAGAGCCGTTGAGCAAGAGGAGCAGGGCGGGCGACCTGCGTGCACGCAGGGGGGTGGCGGTAGCGGTGGGCGGGAGCGGCGGGGCAGCACACAGGGGTCGCGGGGGGAGGGCGAGTGGTGGGACGGGAAAGAGAGGCAGAGGGAGGAGGGCGGGTATGGCAGGGGGGCGAGTAGCACAGGGCGGGTGGGGAACAGCGCTGGGGGAGCGGTCGGGGGAGGGCACTGTGGGGCGGACTCCCGGGGAGGGCGCAGCAGCAGCAGCAGTGACGGGCACAGGAGAGGGGGGGGGCGAGAAGGGGTGGTTTCAAGCGAGGAGGAGTACAGCAGTGGAGAGGGGGGGGCAGGCGCGAGGGTGTGGCAACAGCAGCAGCCGCCAGCGCAGCAGCAGCAGCAATGGCAGGTGCGGGAGGATGTGAGGGGGCGGGGTGAGGGGCGAGCAGGGGTGAGTCCTGCAAGGCCGCCGCGCAGCGGCACGTGGGACGATGGCGACTTTGAGCGCGCAGGGCGCTTCCCCAAAGCCCTGTCGTATGACTCCCCAGGGCGAGGCTCCCCCGGCCATGGGCACGCGGGGCGCGGTGGCAAGGGGGCGCACGAGCACAGGGATGCGCGCAGGGAGGCCGTTGACCGGAGGGGCGGCAGTGGCAGCACCGGCAATGGCAGGGCGGATGCGAGTCGCGGGGACAGCAGTGGGCGAGGGGATGGCAGGGCGAGGCGAGGCGATGGGCGCGCGGGTGGGGCTGATGTGCGGGGCAGCGGTGGGGAGAGTAGGGGCGCGGTCGCGGATGGCAGGGGCGGAGTGAGGGTTGGGGGGGCCGCTGGACCGAGGGGGCATGTTGGGAGTGGGGGTGGGGCAAGGCAGAGCGAGGATGGGCGAGCAGCGGCGCGCATGATGATGCCTCGCAGCGCCACCGTGGCCGCCGTGCTCTCCACCTCCTCCCCTGGGGCCGCCTCGCCTGCCGCAGCAGCGCGCGGCGGTGCGGGCGGGGGTGCAGGTGCGAGTGGCAGTGGCAGTGGCAGTGGCAGTGGCAGGGGGCACGGGTCAAGTGGTGGCAGGGGGGCAGCAGGGCAGGTGGAACGGAGCGGCAGGCAGGGCGAGGAGAGGGCACAGGGGTTTGCAGGGGTGCAGGCGCGGGGAGGGGCGCAGGGGAAAGGGGGGGGAAGAGGGGTTGGGGCAACGGAGGGTGTGAGGCATGGAAGTTACGGGCCCAGGCAGAGGTCTGCACCCACCAGGGAGGGTGGTGCTGCCGGGCGCGTGTGATGCACGCATGCGAGTGTAGTCGTATGACGTGAGTGCATGCGCATGGCATGTGAGTGCATGCGCATGGCATGAAGCACCGTCTCCTCCACCACTCTGCACCACATACTGCTCTCTTGTGCGGCGCAATCTCTGCGTCGTGCCCTCAGCACCCCCCCCTCTCCGGCCATGTGTGCGGGCCGGGCATGCTTACCGTGTGGCATGGGTGGTGCATGCTACGGTAAGCCACCCAGAGCTGCTTCCGGCATGCGCCAAGGCGGGCCCCACATGTGCACCCATGTCTTGCACACCACACAGCAGCGCCATGCACGTGCCTCACCCGTGTGTGGAATCTGTGTTTCCCGCATGCCATCCCTGCCAGCTCAACCTGTGTCGCCCTCCTGTGCTCCCTGCTCACATGCTCCCTCACATCCAAACGTGCAGGCTGTGTGGATGTGCCTTGTGGCCGCCCGTCGATGCGTCTTTTGGACTTGTGATCAACCGCTCTCCCCTCGCCTCTCCATCCTCTTGCTCATGTACAACCCCTTTGGCTGTGTCACCTTTGTTGAGCGGGGGCAGGCCCCAGTGCATATGCTCATGTTGGCCACTAACACTAGCTTAAGGGCAGCTCTCGTAGATTCACTGTGCCCATGCTTGCTGTATGAAGGGCGCAGTTGTGATGCAGTAACTCAACAAGGAAGTTGAGCCAGATGATCCCGTGTCAGGAACCAGTGGTAGTCTTGCACTGCCACTACTGTGTCACACTCTGTGCCTTCAAGCTGATCGTACTACACTGATAAAGCACCTCCCAGTCGGAATTTGAATAGGTGGAAATGGAACCAATACGGAGATTGCTTGCAGCCTTATTGAGCCTGATGTATGCATTTTTCCAAGCTACATTGTCTGAAATGACTTAACGTATTGTGAAAGCGCAGCAGCTTGTACGCAGCATTAGAGCGTGTTCCTATCCTCGTATCAAGATAACCTCGTATCAGGCTCACACTGAAAATTCCCCTAAACCCAAAACCTCTCGCTAGTTTTACCAGGCAAAAACAGCATTCTTGATACTAGGTTTCCTGATATGAGGCCGTAGGAACACGCTCTTAGATGTCGTCAAAACGCTATTTGCCTTTTCCGCCTACAAAAGAAAGAGGTTTTGACACAACTGCATGGTACGTATCAATAAGGGGGCATACAGAGGGGTGTATAAGAAGCAAACCATGACTCTGCAGCACAACCTCACCTAACCTCGCTTAGCAATGCCCACTCACAAATGTATTGGTCAAATGCTGTAGCCGATAGGGTACAGTTGTTAGGGTTAGGTATATGCACCCCAACTCGCAATAATACACACATCATTCCGTTTTTGACATGGTATCAAAGCTTGGTTCCGATCCTGTAGGTTATGGGCCCACAGACTCACTTGACCCTTCCCTGACGAGCCGTTTGAGCCTAGTGGTCCTTACGCAGAGCTTGTGGGTTGCCTCATGTATCGGATGACTTGTACTCGCCCGGATCTCGCCTTCCGTCTCAGCATCTTTGCCCGCTTTGTTGCGTCATGGAGACACCGTCATGTTTACTGGACAGCTGATGTGAGGGTGGCGAAGTAACTAGCGACGACATCAGGCGGGGGCTGGTGCTTGGAGGGAGACAGCCTGTCGTACTCACTGGCCACTGTGACTCTTCTTACGCCGACGACGTCAAGACTCACAGGTCCAGGCAGGGGTACCGTTTCAGTCTAGGCTATGCAGCTGTGTCATGGAGGTCTACTTGTTCCTCCTGTGTCTCGACCTCTACTACTGAGGCCGAGATTTACGTTGGATTCATGGCTGCACAGGAGCTGCGTTGGTTGACCTTCTTTACTTACTGACCTTGGTGAGCGGCCGAGCTCTGCACCGACCTTGTTCACAGACAACAAGGCGATGATTCTTCTGTGTAGAGAGCCTCGACTGGAGAGCAGAGTGAAGCAGAGCAGCGTCAAGTATTTTCTTCTTCAAGAGTTGCAGGTGTCAGAACAGTAGCGAGAAAGTTAGAACAGAAGAAGGGTGTTTTAACTAGAAAGCAATGGGATAAATATAGCAAACCCTAACAAGGCTGTACTCACTATAGAGTACCCCACTCCAGACTAGACAATAAACATTCTGACACACCCCCATAGGCAAAGTGGGGTATAATCAGCACAACGAGTAGGCAAAGAACAAGTTTACAGAATAGCAGAGGGGCAGTGAGGAGGAGGAGGGACTATGAGAGGAGAGGAGATTGGAGGCGGCTGCTGAAGCTGCTGGCACACGGGCGACTGGAGCAACTGGCGCACTGGCTACCGGAGCAAGGGCCCCGGACTACTGGAGTAACTGGCTCCGCGGCTAAGACGAGCGGCTGGAGCAACGGACCCACGGGCGACTGGCGCAACGGGCTCGCTGGCTACCGGAGCAAGAGCCCCGGATTACTGGCGCTGCTGGCTCCAGACTGCTACCTTCGTTCAACCTCCCCCCATTGTCCCCAAACCCCTGTCTCACATCCCCCCCTGAATCTCTACCACCACTCCCTCGGCTCCCACACACCATTCCCCCCTCAGCGGCAGCTGTAGCAGTGGGAGAGAGAGGAGGAAGAGGAGCAGGGGAGGCCTCACACACCCGTCACCCCCATACTCGCCACCCCCACACTCGCCACCCGCGGGGAGGAAGAAGCCTCGCGGCGCACGGGGGCACGGGGCGGTGCAACGGGAGCACAGGGGGTGCGTGCGGGTTCTCAGGGCGGTGCGACGGGGGCGCAGGGGGCGCGAGCGGGTCCCCAGGGCGGCACGACGAGATGGCGGGGGCCGCGCGCGGGTGCCCAGGGCGACGCGACGGGATCGCGGGGGGCGCGTGCGGGTCCCCAGGGGCGACGCGACGGTCGACGGGGGGGACGCGCGGGTCCACGGGGGCGGTGCAACGGTCGACGGGGAGGGACGCGCGGGTCCCCGGGGTGACACGACAGTCGACGGAGAAGGCGCGGGTCCCCGGGGTGACGCGCGAGGCAGTAAACCGTCGCGCGCCTCGGAGCGCACGGCGGGGAGAAAACCGCCGCGCGCTCGGGGCGCGCGGCGGGCAGAAAACCGCCATGTGCCCCGAGCGCGTGGCGGGAAGAAAAATCGTCGTGCGTTACGGGGCGCGCGACAGACAGGACAGCAGCGGAAGCAGGTGGGCCCACAGGCCAGGAGCGTACTCGCTCTGATAGCATGTCAGAACAGTAGCGAGAAAGTTAGAACAGAAGAAGGGTGTTTGAACTAGAAAGCAATGGGATACATATAGCAAACCCTAAATTGGGTTGTACTCATTATAGAGTACCCCACTGCAGACTAGACAATTATAGCATTCTGACAGCAGGGGCATGGACAGGCTTGTTTGGACTTCGTGGGCTTCGAAGCCAACACTGCAGACATCTTCACCAAGACCCTTCCACATTGTGACCACCATAGGTTTTGTGTGCAGTTATGTCTCTTGACACAGGTTATTGTCTTGTGTAGACTTGTGTTGTCTACTTGCTTTGTTTGTACTTTATACAACTACCTCTGTGAACGCTTGGACTGGTCTTGTGGCCTCTTGTTTGTGCTCGGACTGTGTGGTGACATTGTGATCCACCCTGAGCTTTGTCTCCTTGTGACCGGTCTTGTGACCGTACGGTTTGGTTGTTGCATGACACCCCTCACTTAGGCTTAAGGGGTGTGTCCAATGTTGTAGCCTGTAGTGAGGCATGTCATGTGAGGTACAGTTGTTAGGGTTAGGTATATGTACCCCAACTAACAGTAATACACACATCATTCCGTTTTTGACATGTACAAGTGTAGTTAACACACCCCGTAAGCTTGGCAATGGGCAATGCCTAGAAGATTAGAAACAACACAGCGCAACACTATTAGCCCAGACCAGAGCCTCATATTTCTAGGGTCCCTGAGCCCTCAGGGCATGGCTAAAAAAAACTTGTCGTCCCCAGGGCAGAGCCCTCAGGCAGGCCCTGGTTTCGTAAGGCATGCCAAAAATTTACCCTGAGGCTTCAGCCCGTTTGTTTTTTCTCACTAAGGTATACCCCTGATTACTAGTAAATCCTACATTGTTTGAAAATCCCAGCTCCCCTTGCCTTTGGCTCCCGTGCTACCCTAAACTCGTTGCTGCACCTTGTGCCCCTCTCCGTCTCTCCTTCAAGGACTTTTGTTATCTGCTCTTGTCGGACTTTTATGCTGCTGCAAACCGATCCCTCTCCCTGTGTGAAGTCTCACTCCTTGCTGTTTGAGGCCGAATACCCACTCAGAAAAACCTCACTAGCCCAACCAATGCCGATTGATGGCTTCCGCCTATGTTGGTTTAACTAGACTTTATTATCAAGAAGCGGAGAACATACGACGAAGCAACGAGTCCTAGATTTGTCTAGCTCTATGTACATGATTGAAACAACTAGCCCCAACACTTTGTTGCTGGGCATAACACACAAGTAATCATCACAATTTGGTGAGTTTCATGATCACCGAAGCTATTAACAAGCTGCCAGCCGCTAGTGCTTGCGTGAGTTCTTGCTCGAGTCAAGGGCCAAATCTGAGGAGAGCCAACATGCTTGTTTTTACCATTTGCCAACTCTCGTACTTGCTGCTCTTGTCCGCGTTAGCAGCCCCCGCCTTGCCAATGTTCACATTTCAAGCACACTCGAAAGGAAACATGCAAGAACTCCCCTTTTTCCTCAGCTCGAATCACCTTATCTACAGTGCAGACCTTGTTACCGCTTCCCACACCTCCCGTGCTTCCTCATCCCTCGCCCACCCTCGCCACTAGAGGCTCTGTTGTTATCAGTCAGCGAATTTCTTTCCGTAACTCCTCTACTGCTTCCGTCCCTGAATCTTGCCTAGAGTCTTTCCATGCAGGTACATCCTTTATATCGTGCTGCTAACCTCTTGCTGTCTCTGAGAATTCATTGCCCTCAACCGTCATTATAGATGGTCAACGCATATCCGTGACATCTGTAAAAAAATCCCAGCTCTTCTTGCCTATATCTCC